CTCTCTCTCTCTCTCTCTCTCTCTCTCTCTGTCCCCCACCCTGAGGTTGGTCAGCTTCCAACCTATTGCTGTGTCCTCCTGCGTAAACCTGGGCTGAGTGGACCCTGATCTAATTTGGAAAGAAAATGTAAAAAGAAACGGATGCCCATCTGTGACCTCTAAAGGAGTACTCCAGGTGTATGGAACGTCCATCCCCCAGATGTGAAGGTGGGTTCTGCAAGGCCTTTTTTAGGAGTCCCTGTGTAAGACGTTTCTTGAACCATTCTGAAACATAATCTTAAATACCTCCTGTGTAGCAAGAAAGTCATGAACATTTGATGACTATAAGACTGTTAGGCCCTGGTCCAAGAATAGGATCGAAATTCTATGAACCGAATTTGAAATTCCATTTACAGGCTTATCCCTTTAGTTTAAGTCTTTAACCTTTAGAATGCAAGCAAATCCCAGGAGATAACAGAGTGACCCTCATGAATCTTCAGCCTGACATTACACCAGACCCTCCGCTTACCTGCAGCCCCTTACATATCCTGCTCCCTAAAAACCAGGATTCACTCCTGGAGCCAACCACTAGACTCTGCACGCCTAAACAGTGAGCCTGTTTTGTTGTTGTTTTTTCTGCCTGGGACACTTTGCCTTCTCTTTTCTTTTTAGCTAATTCCTAGTTCTTAAAGCCCAGGCAATGTCACTCCCTGCTCCAAGTCTGTTCTCCAAAGCAGGCTTAGTCCACCTGTGGGGTCTCTGACGCTTTGGGTCTCTCCTCGCTGATGGCCCTTCTCCCAGTGTCCTCATTGGCACACAGGCCTATCTTCCCGCCAGGTTAAGATGTGAGCTGTTTCTTGTTCTTCGTTGAATCTCTTGCATCTCAAATAATATCTGGCCCATAGTAGGTTCTGTTTAGGGAATGGATGGATTCTTTACTGCCGAGGTGTTTTTAATGGGTGGTGGTACAGGGCTGGAGTGGAGAGAGTAAAAATGCCAAGTGAAAGAGAAGCGGTGTGCAGAGAGAGGAGGCTGGGGACGCTGAAGGCCAGCTCCTCGGGGTGTCAGTTGTGTGAAGGTCCAGGCAGCTTAATGGCATGCGACATCGCCTTTCACTGACTTTCTCAGAAGGTAATGCTAATTGACTGCTGAACTTTAAAATCTATTGACACATTTGATGCACTTGCCAAAGTGGTGTTTAATGACCCGTATTTCTCACAATAAAACAGGGCAACGTTAAAAACTCAAATTTGCTTTGGATTGACATCTGCTACCATCTGTTGGCTCCCGGATTCTGGGTTACATCATTCTTATTTTTATGTTAAACATTACCAGTAATAAAAACAGAAGGAAAGGGAGAAGTCGAAGCCCGCATAGGGAAGTTCTGATTCCACCCAGACTTGACAGTCCTATTTTCTTCTCAGAAATCCTAGAAAACAGAAAACAAGAAGATGTCTTGTTGAGAAAGACCTCCTTCGACTTGACCATGAGTCAAACGAGGAAGAAAAGTTCCTCAGATGGAGAAACCAAACCCCGGACGTCATTTGTCAACAAATTCCTCAGGGGCTCAAAACTCAGGTCCTCCAAAGCGGAAAGCAGAAACGAGAGCAATGACCTTAAAACAGCTGATTCCCAGCCCAGCGATGAGACACAGAAGACTGCCACCTTAGACACCGGTAAGGTGTTCTGACTGCTGTCAGTTCTTTGTTTCTTAGAATAATGTCTTCCCCTGGAGATCATTGGGTTAAACTAAACCTAATATGAGTCTCTGTCTAAACATTTATTACTAGAGGCCCGGTGCATGAAATTCATGCATGGGTAGGGTCCCTAGGCCTGGCCAGAGATCAGGGCCAATCAGGGCCTCCTGGCTGCTGGCCACCTCCCTTGGTTCCGCACCACCCCCTGGTGGTCAGCGCACATCATAGCAAGCGATCAGTCTCCCAGTTGAACACCTGTGGGGACAATTTGCATATTAGGCTTACATATATATATATAAATGTTAGTTAAATACTTTAAATACTTTGCTAATTTTACTTTTAAATTATCAAGAGTATTATAATACTACAGAAAGGCGTAGAGAAAATGCCTGATTTCCTTTCATTTTCACGCAAATGATCATTTTTTCAAGATTCTTTTCAGTCTTTTGTTCCTGTGCATGCATTTATAGTCAGTCAGAACCCACTCATTGAGTTCCTACTATGTGCCTGCCACTGTATTTTGTAAGTGCACAAAGTACAGCCATGAAAAGCAGGGCCTTATGTAAACAAGGAAGCAAATGCAGATACCATTTCAGTGCTGATAAGTGACGTGAAGAAAAGCAGAGCAGGCTAAGTAGAGAGTGATGGGATGGAAGTGCTCGTTCAGACAGGATTGGAGGAAAGGCGTCTCTCACTGGGTGGCACTGGAGCAGAGGCTAAATAAAGTCAGCCACGTAGAATGAACGAGTAAAACCAGCCACACAGATAAATGTGCGAATAGCTTTCCAGGCAGAGGGAACTGTAAGTGCAAAGGCCCAAGGTGGGACTGAGCCCGGAGTGTTTGAGAGGGAGCCAGGAAGTCCGGGATGCTGAGGCAGGGTGAGAGGTGGGGAGAGGGAGAGGAGTAGAGACGAGTCAGTGAGGCAGCTGGGGGCTAGAACAGGTCTCTCTTGCAGTTATAATAGCCTACAAATCCCTCTTGAGTTGAATGAAGCAGTGATCCTACTTCTGAAACATATTATTATACTGCTAATTCCTACATTGCTTCATGATGTTCCTATACATAATTTTAACAGCTGCATAATATTCCATTACATTCATATGCCATAATTACTTAATAAATTCCTTTTTTTTTTTTACCCTTCAGTGATTATCTTTGGCTTTCCCTCTCCCATATTCCCTGCTTCATGGAATTTCAGCTTTTTAAAAAAGTATAAGTTTCAAGAACCAAAATTATATATTCGAAGGTGATGAAAATAAATATTGCCAACTCTCTCTCCAAAATCGGAATCATATTATTTGGCAATATGATGGCATATACATACCACCAATTTATTATCCATTAGGTTAAATGAATTTTTAAAACATTTTAAACTTTATATGCAAACATATACAAAAGTAGAGAGAACAGTATGAGTCCCCATGATCACCTCTCTAACAATTACCAGCCAATCTTGTTTCATTTATTCCTATCCTCACTTCCATCAAATTATTAGTATGAAATACCTAAAATAATACCATCTTACCTATACGTAGGTTAAATGTATTTTAAATATATTTTGGTAACTAGGAAGTGAAAGTCTACTTCTAAAGGAAGACAATCTCTACCAGAAAGTTGTTGGCATTTGTTTCAAATTATTGTTCGGAGCTTCAGGAACATGGTTAATGAGTACCTGAAACCATGATCAAATCAACAGTGCAAGACCAGGCAGCTGGTCAACACCGGCTGCTCAAGCCATTCATGGCTTCTCTACTTCCGTTATCTCAAAATTCAGTGGCTCCTGGAGTCACGTTAATTCTGCCTCCCAAATGGCTCTTGGGTTGGATCCTCCTCTCCACTGCTATTCTGGTTCTCATCTCTTGCCCTGACCACTGTGGCAGCGTCGTAACTGGTTTCTCTGTCTCTAGTCTTGCTCTCTTGCCAACCTGTCCTCCACACTGCCACAGGATGCCCTCTTAAACCACAGATGTGATGGTGTCTCTCAGCTGCTTACAACCCTTTACTCACTGGATCCCTCTCACTTTGAAGAGAAAGTCTATCCTCCCAAGAAAGATCTTCAAGGTATGGGTGATCAGTTGGCTATCTCTTCATGACTCTGCCTTCCCCCAGCCTCACATTCCTCCTCTACTCCTGACATTCTGATTTACCTGCAGTTTCCTAAACTGGCCATATTCCCCCAAGTTGGATGCCTAGAAAGACCTTCCCTTGCATCGCCATCTTCCCTCTGCACCCCGCCCCTTTTTACCTCTTCCTCACTCCCACCCATCTGGCTGGCTCACATTGGTCCTTTAAGGTGCCAGTCATGCATCACTTTCTCTTGGAAGCTTGCCAAGACCCACCCACCAGACAGAGCTTCTTACTGTCACCCTCTGCACGCCTCCACCATTGCACGTCTCCTCTGTGTTGTGACCGTGGCTTTCTTGCGTGTCTCCTCCATTAGACAGGTAGCTCCTTGAAAACAGGAATTTGTTTTGTTACAAATGTAATCATGTTTTTATGAAAATATTGGGATTCTTGGTCATAAACAACAGAAACCAACCCTTACAGATTTAACTTGGAAAAGGTCTCAATGGGTGTGGCGGGCTGGCTCAGCCATGGCATACTCAGACCAACGTGGGGCGCCCTATGTGCCGAGCCAGCTCAGCCAGGTTCGGTGAGCCCGAGTGGGGGCCGTGAAGGATTGAGAAAAGACAGACAAGAGAATGAAAGCTGGGTCTTGGCGGGACGCTGCCCTCTCTGATGGAGAGAGACAGTGCCACGGACTACAAGCCGTGTCTTTATTTTATAGCCAGATTCCACGAGGCAAAGTAAGGGCGTGGTCAAGATGTTTACAACATTCTCATGGGTTTGCATCCTACTCAATTACATGCACCTGAACTCTATCAAGCCCACATTACTCAGGCACGTGGGGCCACGTGTTCAGACCATAGGTTCAAGCTTACAACTATAGCTGTTGGCTATAATTATGCTGCCCTCCAACCTGGGACTTGCACGTGGCGATGAGAGGACTGTGTCCTCTCATTAGTCCGAGGCTTGAACCTGTCCAAACACTGTAGCCACTCTCCACAAATGGGAAGATACTGTTTAGTCACAGAATCACCTGGATGGAGACACCAGAGTTCAGTTCAGCGGGAAAGCAACCGGAAAAGGCCCCAGTCACTCCACAGACTGCTCATGTGTGATCACTTTGTCCCCTCCATGAAGTGCCAGCCCTCCCACCTCAGCCAACCTGCAGCAGCTCTGACTCATCAGTTTTGTATGCTGAGCTGTGACACCGATAGTCTTCAAAGAAAGGGTTTCATAGTTAAAAAGAAATACATGGTCCATGAGGAGATGTCTAGGGGTTTCATAAGTTAATATTCATATTTCTATGTAGGTGTTTTGAGAAAGATTTATCATGTTGATTTATTTTGGTAATTAAACTCTAAAGCTAATATTCATTCACTCACTCACTCACTCATTCATTCAATTATTTGTTCATTCAACAAATATTCACCAAGTATTTCTCATGTAAGACTCTGCAGAGTCCCATCTCCCTGGGAGACCCTCGTAAATTTAAGTCACTATACTCCCGAGAAAGGAACCGGGCAGGACTTCTAGTCTTCCTTTTATAGATGCGTAAACCAAGGCTCAGAGAAGTTGTGACTTGTTCACCCATTGGATGCATGATTTCAACAAGATCGTCCAACTGTGCTTAGACTTGCCAATCATATCAACCATTACAGAGTACCCAGGTTCGATGTGGTCTGAGAAGAGATTTCTGAATCTATCCATTGGTAGGTCATTGCTGGTGACTTTTGAGAAACAATTTATTTGAATAGGTGAGTGTGGCAACCAGATGTAGCGGGTTAATTGGTAAATGTGCTGAAGACGTGGGGGGAGCAAGTACAAACCAATCTTTCCAAACATTCGATAGTAAGGGAAATGATTGACATGGCAGTGGCTTGAAGAGAAAACAAAGAAAAAGAATTGGTGGGGCTGGTTGTAGGTTGAGCCTATGGAGATAACAAAAGCAATAGGATACCATGTGCAGAAATTTTTTAAACACAAACAATTTAAAACACAGAATGGGCTTTGGAGCACACTGTTCTGGGTTCAAATTCTGACTCTGCTACTTAGTAATTAACAGAGTCTCAGTTTCCAAATCTACGAAATGGTATAACCGTGACTATTTCCTTTAAGTTTAAACAAAATGTCCTGTACTCACTGGCATGTAAGAGGCAGTTCCTCCCCATCTCTCATCCACAGCTCTCCTCTCTGCCACCCAAAATTAGGGTTACCATGTAAAATAAGTGCAATATTTGGGACATACTTTTACTAAACGATTCCTGTTTCCCTGAAGTCTAAATTTAATTGGACATGCTGCTTTTGTTTTCCTAAATCTGGCAACCCTACCCAAAATACTGTACCTTGTATCCAAGTGCCATGATAAAAATTGAAGGCCTGAGTAAAGAGGTAAAATGGTGGAAGGTGCTGCCTCCTACTGGTGGAATGTGGCAACACCGACCAGGCCAGCAATGCTGTATACCCTACAGGTGGCTTTCTTAAAAATAGCAAGTCAGGTTCTTTTGTTCATTAGATTCCACATATAAGTGAGATCACGTGATACTTGTCTTTCTCTGACTGGCTTGCTATGGACACAGACAATAATGCAGTGAAGGCCTGGGGGAGCGGGAGCAGAGTAGAGGGGGTCAATGGGGATATCTGTAATACGTTCAACAATAAAGATACATATTTTTAAAAGCAAAAACAAAGCAAACAACAAAAAAACAAAACACACCAACAACTAGCATTGGACAGGAAAACAGAGCCACAGGAACGTAGAAATCTTTTAAATAAAAATAGCAAGTCACAAGACACCCTGTGGAAGAGAGATGAAGTTTTCATTATCATTGCTAACATTTTAGTCTAAATTTATTATTACTGTAATCCTACTATCTTTTAATTTTCACTGGTACCAATATATATGTATATATATTTAGCTATGTTGTTTTATACTTTTTTGTCAGGGTTAGTAGAATATTCCTGCACATTCATAACTTATGTCTTCTTATTGGATTCCAGTCTACTTTGTGTGTGTGTGTTTAAATGTATTTTTATTGATTTCAGAGAGGAAGGGAAAGGGAGAGATAGAAACCTCAATGATGAGAGAGGATCATCGATCAGCTGCCTCCTACACACCCCACACTGGGAATCGAGCCCGCAATCCGGACATGTGCCCTGACCAGAAATTGAACTGTGTGACCTCCAGGTTCATAGGTTGACGCTCAACCACTGAGCCACAGTGGCCAGGCTCTTTGTGTATGTTTCAAATTGTACATTGCCACTGACAAACCTCTTTAAAGTCACTGTCAGTACATGCATATTTATTTTTCCTTACAAAAGTATAATGTTTTTATATATATTTTAAACGCTGGCACATGCGATAAGTAAAGCACTGGTACATAATAGGTGCTCAATAAAATTATAGTATTTTTTATTACTTTAGTGAGATCACATTAGCATAGTGTTATAACGGAGGAATTTGGTGAGGTGCCTCATAAGTAGTTCCTAATAACAAGAAGACAAATGGGTTCTCCAGCAGGAGCTCAGAATATACAAAAGCTTCCCCCAGGCACTAGCTCTCAGGCTTCCTCAGTTGAATGGGGGAGGAAATGAGCAGCAGCTGTTTCTTTCACTCCCACCCTGTACCTATCTGAAACTCACCAGTGGTGACTGCAAGGCCTCCCCTTCTTCACCTGCTTGGTTAGGAGGCAAACACCTGTGCTTGGCCCAGCAGTTGCATTCGCCAAAGCTATCTGTCATCGTTCCAGCACTGCTCGCTCGCCTAAAGCTGTGCTAACAAGCTCACCTCTTCTTCAGGAACACAGCTCTGTCCCTACGCTGAGAAGCCCGGGTCAGGCCATGAAAGAAAAGCCACCAAGGCAGGAACAGAGGTTTTCTTCCTGGTAAATGCTTCAGGTTTCACCAGGGACCAGTTCAGGATTATTGTCCGCCTTTTCACTTGTTGTATTGTGATCATTATGCATCTTTATCTGTCGTTAACAGCAAATTCTTCTTTATTCTTATAATGTAGCCACGCCTCTCACTTCAGAAACGGAACTGGGATGCCAGGTGGAGCAGTTCCTGCAGAAGCTGGGCAGAAAGGCTGTGGACACGTGTCTAGATCTGAGTAACTGCGGGCTAACAACAGCGGACGTGAGGGAGATGGGTTTGTATGCAGTTGACTTTGCACTGACGGGAACATAGGGCCTGTAGGTTGAAATGAGAAGGCAAAACACACTCATTATTCACTTGGTAACCCAAGGTCTGAGGGTGGCCCCAGACTACTCAGAAACAGCTGCTGCACCGCTAATTTAAAAAAAAAAGATTTGAGTGGAGGAAGTTCATTTGTTTGTTTTTCCTGAGCATTTTTGCCTCCCTACTGATTGCCTCTGGCTCCCTGCAAAACGTCTGTTCTTACATAGGATATTAACCCATGAAACTCAGCCTAAAACCGAGCCTTCTTGGAAATTTAAAGGGGTATTGTGCTCTTTGGTTATCTGTGGAATGAAAAGTACAACTGCCAGCAATTATTGCATATATATATATATATATATATTGTTTAAAGTTTTACATATGTCTCCTTTGCTTATATTTTTTTGTACACAAAAGTATCACAACCCTTTGTTATACCTAAGCAGGAGTGTAATTGTGAAGAACCCTGTGCCCACACCACTATCACCACCTTTCCCCCCCCTTTTTCTCAGGTACCTTAAATTAAGCCTTTAATCAAATTAGATGTGTCTACCAACAGAGATGCATCAAAGAACTGCGTTTTGAACGAGGACTCCTCAACTATTTTAGTTAAAACCCATGCCATTATAATTTGGTCAGGACTCTGAAAGGGAACTCTAACCATGCCCGCGGGTACCCAACGCCTGCCTGTCAAGATCACTTGTGGAGCCTGTAGAAACGTAGGCACTTGAGTCCAACCCAAACCCACTGAATGGCAATCTCTGGTTTTATTTTTTTTTCTTCTTAATATGTTCAGTAGATTTATGCTTTATAAAATTAGGACCATCGTGAACATGCTTTTTGGAAAAAAATATATTTTTATTGATTTCAGAGAGGAAGAGATAGAAACATCAATGGTGATCATAAATTATTGATTGGCTGCCTCCTGCATGCCCCACACCAGGGATTGAACCCACTACCCAGGCATGTGCCCTGACTGGGAATCAAACCGTGACCTCCTGGTTCCTAGGTCAACGCTCAACCACTGAGCCACGCCG